TGGGAAAATACAAATAAATTTTTTTCTCGAAAAGTTACAAAGCTACAGGGCTGAAATTTGCAGGGTATTTCCACATTGGCAAGCTGGACATTTGAGAAAAAACAGAACTGAAAAATCTCCCATAGCCTAGGAGTTAGGCCGGAAAACGTAATTCCATTGTCTCCTGTATAGGCCCTGGCGACCGAAAACGGCAACTCACCAACCTCGGCCCAGTGACTCGATTTGGCTCCAGTTTTGGACTTTTTCGACTAATTGGACCCCAGACTGACCGAAAAACACTTCAAACTCAATTAAAAACAATTAGAGCCAAAAATGCGAATTTTTTTGTTTCTATGGTCTTCTGCTCGCATAGTGGGAAAATACAAATAAATTTTTTTCTCGAAAAGTTACAAAGCTACAGGGCTGAAATTTGCAGGGTATTTCCACATTGGCAAGCTGGACATTTGAGAAAAAACAGAACTGAAAAATCTCCCATAGCCTAGGAGTTAGGCCGGAAAACGTATTTCCATTGTCTCCTGTATAGGCCCTAGCGACCGAAAACGGCAACTCACCAACCTCGGCCCAATGACTCGATTTGGCTCAAGTTTTGGACTTTTCCGACTAATTGGACCCCAGACTGACCCAAAAACTTTTCAAACTCAATTAAAAACAATTAGAGCCAAAAATGCGAATTTTTTTGTTTCTATGGTCTTCTGCTCGCATAGTGGGAAAATACAAATAATTTTTTTTCTCGAAAAGTTACAAAGCTACAGGGCTGAAATTTGCAGGGTATATCCACATTGGCAAGCTGGACATTTGAGAAAAAACAGAACTGAAAAATCTCCCATAGCCTAGGAGTTAGGCCGGAAAACGTATTTCCATTGTCTCCTGTATAGGCCCTAGCGACCGAAAACGGCAACTCACCAACCTCGGCCCAATGACTCGATTTGGCTCAAGTTTTGGACTTTTCCGACTAATTGGACCCCAGACTGACCGAAAAACACTTCAAACTCAATTAAAAACAATTAGAGCCAAAAATGCGAATTTTTTTGTTTCTATGGTCTTCTGCTCGCATAGTGGGAAAATACAAATAATTTTTTTTCTCGAAAAGTTACAAAGCTACAGGGCTGAAATTTGCAGGGTATATCCACATTGGCAAGCTGGACATTTGAGAAAAAACAGAACTGAAAAATCTCCCATAGCCTAGGAGTTAGGCCGGAAAACGTATTTCCATTGTCTCCTGTACAGGCCCTGGCGACCGAAAACGGCAACTCACCAACCTCGGCCCAATGACTCGATTTGGCTCAAGTTTTGGACTTTTCCGACTAATTGGACACCAGACTGACCGAAAAACACTTCAAACTCAATTAAAAACAATTAGAGCCAAAAATGCGAATTTTTTTGTTTCTATGGTCTTCTGCTCGCATAGTGGGAAAATACAAATAATTTTTTTTCTCGAAAAGTTACAAAGCTACAGGGCTGAAATTTGCAGGGTATATCCACATTGGCAAGCTGGACATTTGAGAAAAAACAGAACTGAAAAATCTCCCATAGCCTAGGAGTTAGGCCGGAAAACGTATTTCCATTGTCTCCTGTATAGGCCCTAGCGACCGAAAACGGCAACTCACCAACCTCGGCCCAATGACTCGATTTGGCTCAAGTTTTGGACTTTTCCGACTAATTGGACCCCAGACTGACCGAAAAACACTTCAAACTCAATTAAAAACAATTAGAGCCAAAAATGCGAATTTTTTTGTTTCTATGGTCTTCTGCTCGCATAGTGGGAAAATACAAATAATTTTTTTTCTCGAAAAGTTACAAAGCTACAGGGCTGAAATTTGCAGGGTATATCCACATTGGCAAGCTGGACATTTGAGAAAAAACAGAACTGAAAAATCTCCCATAGCCTAGGAGTTAGGCCGGAAAACGTATTTCCATTGTCTCCTGTATAGGCCCTAGCGACCGAAAACGGCAACTCACCAACCTCGGCCCAATGACTCGATTTGGCTCAAGTTTTGGACTTTTCCGACTAATTGGACCCCAGACTGACCGAAAAACACTTCAAACTCAATTAAAAACAATTAGAGCCAAAAATGCGAATTTTTTTGTTGATTGTATACGAATGTAGTCCGTGCTATTGCTATTTTTAGATATCATCTTTCTTGCTTTAATTTGTCGTTTTTGCATATTTATTCTTGACAATTTTTTGGTTTAGATTTGGAATTTGATGTCTGAAATTGCATTTTATTTCAGATTATCTGAGTTGATGAGAGATTTTCATGCGGAAGGATAATTCTAAAAATACATTTAGTAGGTTTGTGTTCAGTGTCTGTCAAGCCGATGTTGGTCTACTTTCAGTTGGTCTATCTCAAAATTTCGTGATATTATATTTAAGTATTGGCCCGTCTTTCGTGTCAAAAGTTTCCAACGAAAAAGGTTGAATTTCGTGATTTATATGGAAAGAGATGGCAAATGAATTACTGTGGTTCAAACGATTGTTTTTTTTTTTTGAAGAAGAAGAAGAAGAAGAAGAAGAAATTGCTTCGGTAACCCCACAAATTCTTTCAGTTTATTTTTGATTCATTATCCATTGTAGACTCGTTCAATTACTAAAATTGACTCGTATCATCTTTGGGACTAGAATGCTCAACTCACGGAAACTGAAGAACAGAGCTAAGATTGAGCCAATTGTATCCAGGCCATCTTTCGTGTTAGCTGTCCGTAAACAAAATTGGACTTGTTTTAATCTACGATTTTTATGTCTTTTCTTACAATTCGGCGGTTTTTTAATTATTAGTATTCACCCTTTTTAAATTAAATTCAGGTTGATCAAGTAGCTATATGAGTAAATGACATTTCGTCGGCCTCCAGAAAGTTGTTTTAAGAATGGTTATTATTATGGTGCATCATATAGAAACATACAAAACAATTTATCCACCATCATAATTCGAATTGTTTAGAAAAAAGTGACCCTTTTTATCAAAGGATAACATAAACTATAGACGCTTATTAGAAAAACCAATTTTACCCTTCATGAGAAAACAAATAGGACATAAAAAAAATTATGATACATTTAAGCTTTTTCTTAGAATGGCTACATTCAGATCTTCGACCATAAGGGTCCTCGCCCTCTACCCTATTTTCTGTTACTGCTTTCAACTATATATTAATATTATTTGTCAGCGAATCATGGTACGGAAACTGTACCTATTGTATATGTTGCTATATTTACTCATAAATATGTAGATACACGCGTAATTCTGAAGTAATAATCATGCAATCACTGTTTCGAAGTGAAATTCTGATCGTTTGTGTTTGGACAGGTTAAAGTGTGCCAAAATGGACAATGTATCATGAAATAGATATTAATGGGATTATCCCATAGTTGCACGTCAAGATATTTTCATTACAGAAATATTTTCTCAAAAAGCATTATGCAAAAATAAAAATATCGCAGGACTTGGTGGTTTTAAAAAAAAAATCATATTTTGTTACCAAAAGACCATTATTATTTTGGCTCATATAAAACACGCGTATAATATACTATATAACGCACAATAATGGCTAACTGATGCTAAATAGCAATGGCTGTGTTAAATGAAATCTTTGCTGATTTTAATAACCCATTAGTACAGAACGGCCAAATTTAATTTGGTTCAGCTATACAATGTTCTGGTAATGTAAAAACTATGAAAAAAGTCTCAGAGGCTTGTCATACTTGTTAAATAGGAATAGTTTGCTCATTGCGTTTACCGAAACTGGTGAATGTAAAAACCAAACTCTCTTAAGTAAAAAAACTAACTAGAGGCAAATAAAACAGTTTTCACTATTCACTTTTTTCGTTGTCAATTAAACTCTTAATAGGTAGGTTATGCCAAACGTTGGTTGAAGCCACTGAAAAAAGACCGAAAACAATAAGCTGAAATGCTATAATAGTTGACACTTTGATTATTTGATTCGTGTTGGCACTTCTTGGCAATGAGATATGCTTGAGTCAAGTTTGTGGTGTGGTATATTGAAAAGTCAGAGAGGAGATTTTAAAATCGATTGCCTTTAATGCTGACAACCAATGGAAATTCTTTAGAATTGATGTAGGCCTAATATGGCTGTGTTTTTTAAAGTTATCATACGTTTACTTAAATGGAAGGCGATATTTCAGAAAGGAAAATGTTACTTATTACAGTGAGAAAACAAATGTTGCTGCTGCGGACCCGGTAATGTACGATAATAGGCTACCATCAAGCTGAAAACACACTTTTGATTCCAACAATTTAGAAAAAGCCACAAATCAGAGCGAAATTAAAATGTTTACCTAAACTTTTTTTACTATGTAGTTTTGGCATTTTAAAATTGTCTATATTTTGGTGAATAATTTTCTTAAATTTTATTTCAGATCTCCGATTTCAGCCGGATTAATCATCAAATGCCATTTTTCTAGGGGAAAATACAACCTAAATGTAAATTGATTTTTTTTGGTTTGAAAATCAAGAATTTGGCTGACCATTCATTTCATCAAATTTCAACTTTTCGGACTATGTAAATATTTTAATAAAATTTCGGATTAATAAAAATCTTGTAGTTGACCTTATTAAGTTGACCTGAATATCACTACGCTGTTCAAAATGGCCATTGCAATCAATTTTTCGTGTATTTGATATTCCTCTTATATAAATTCCGTTAAAAATAGAAGAATTGTTTATAATTTATTATCTTATAGATCCACGGAGAAAATTAAATCTATTTTTAGAACCAGGACTATTTTCTGTCGCGTAGTATTTTTTTATAGTGAACTGTCTACGGTTCTAGACAGAAAATTGTCAACAAATAACCTACAAAATATTGAAAATGATTCGCAAAAAACTCGGAATATATGTGGTTTTGGTGACATGGTATGCTGTTATTGCAGGTAGGGTACAATTTATTTGTTGTTTTCAATCTAAGGATTGATAATTGAGTGAAATGGTTCGATAGAACAGCGATAGAAAGTTAAAATCAAATTGTGTATGTTGTACATATTATCCAAAATGGAGGTATATGTCCGATGTTTTACCAACTGCAGGTGCGCTTTAAACTGGAGCAGTCACGATGCAATGTTTACATTTTGTACAGGTGTTGAACTTGCTGAACAATGCCATAAAAGTCATTTCCAAATTGTCTGTCTTTTGGTTATGGCTTTCAAAATGGTTGCTCTTTTTCTCTCCAGACATTTGAGGTCACGTTGACATAGCATATGAAATCATTTATGTCAGTTTGTCATGTTATGTTGTTATTGTAAGCTATTATTGTATAATGACATTACCTATTTCTTTTTAATTTCACACCTCTGCTATTTATTTTAATCATATTAATGACACTAGACCTGTAGTGGTAGGTTTATTGTTTTGGGAGTGGGGGAGGGAAGGTCAATATAGGCCTAGCCTAATACTATATAGTAATATTAAATGGAAATTGTAAAGAGCTTATCTGGCTTTTTATATGTAACAGATTATTTGCAAAATTTCAATCTTCTGTCAGATCTTTGTTGATCCCTTAATTGTGGATATTCTAAAAGGTATTGTAAGGAGTTTTTAAAGTACCGGTATTACATATTGGGGACTGCTATAGTATCAATTTGCACCGTTCTAAATTTCAATCAGATGTCTGTGGTACCTGCAATTCCACTAAAACTAACTAAAACTAAGTGTTTGATGACATCAGTAATCGCATCAAAGGATCTTGTGTGATAAGGCATTTATTTCGATTAGTGACCTCATCAAACACTGAGTTTGAGTGGAATTGCTTGAGTCACAGACGCCTGACTGACAATAGGAATGGTAATTTGATGATATCAGTGTCCTCAATACAAATTTAGAAATATATTGACCCCGTTATGATGCCACTGTCTAAAAAGGTGCTAATAATATCCATGGGCCTTTGCAATAGATGAATTTTTATGAAATTCTTAATTTCAATGGAATTTCAAAGTCAGAGAGGTTTCACTGAAAACGTGCAAATATCCTTGTCCCAGATACAGATAAAAATTTTGAGGAAAACCTCCGTGCAATCCAATAAATATTGCTTATATTGTATGTATGATCGTAGATATCTTGGATATGATTGTTTAACAAAATAAATATATTCCTTGTTAAGATAATAAAGTTAAATATTCTTTCTTAATTTGTTTTAGTGGTAACAGGATTAAAGTGTAAGTGTACAGAATGTAGTCAACCACGTCAACCTAACAGTACCTGTACAACAGATGGTATATGTCTAGTGTCTTCTATACGCAGTAAAAAGACAGGGAAAATACGAGTGCGACGATTGTAAGTATCTTCAGCATACTGATAGAATCGATTTGCAGCATTCGTTCCAATTTTCAATCAGACGTCTTGCTATTCCACTTAAACTATCACAAAGGTCCATCCTTTTAAATATACTTAATGGCAGCTTTTGCAATAGTGACGCCATAAAGTGCTTCCCTTTAGTGGAATTGCAAGAGCCACACATCTGACTGAAAACTAGAATGGGGCAAATAGATGATATCAGTGTCCCGAATACATAAAAAAAAATCTCTTTAAGAATTTATGAATTTTTCTACCGTCGTTAATCAGCTGGATATTTAACAACTCTCATTTGTCCAAATACATGAATAATGGATGCATAAGTATAATGGTTGAAGAGACAATGGCTTGAAAAGTGATGATTAATTACCGGTACCAGTATTCTATAAAAAAAAATATGAATTCAAAACGATTGCACCTTATCACTAGGTTAGCAAACAACAAACCAACTTGTTACTGAGAGAATATTTAACACTGCTGTTTGTAATATGATTTTGATCTGCCTAAGTGAAAGAGGTAGATGTAATGGTTGAAAAGACAATGGCTGGAAAAATGATGATTAATTACCGGTATTCTATCTTTTAGATGTAAAGACAAAGAAGAGCTGTTTCCTGACAATAGACCAATGTTTTGTGAAGTTATAGAAAAACAAAAAAGTAATTTCAATGTATATTGTTGTAATGATAGAGATATGTGTAATGCTGATATCACACCAGAGTTAGAACCACCGACAAAAACACCTGAAGAAATAGCAAGTAAGTAAAAAAACAGCCATAACTGTCTTTAAGAAGGATAACAACTTAGCTTCAGAAGGATTTATTCTGCCAGCTGGTCATTGACTATACTTCATTGCATTGATCTTTCCGACTGGCTGCTCCAGTAACCCAGTCTCATCTAAACATTGGCCAATGGATAAAATGAGTTTTCGTTGAAGAATGAAAGAAAAACTACATATCTAATTACAGCTGGGTTGAGAGTAAAAATTGAGCTAAGATTACTTATTTAAGTTAGGTGGACTTTCAGACCATTTATTGGACTTAACAAAGCACAAGAAGTCAAATGACCATATTTTGATATTGATTCCATGACCAAAATCGACCCTGCCTTTTTTGAAAATGAATATCAGAATTTCCTTTCACAAATTCAATTCAATCCATTCTCAGGAGAAAGAAAGGAAGCAGATGGTATCAGCGCTATGGAATTGATGGCTTTTATAGCAGTACCTATTGGTCTAGTTTGTATACTGATATTAGTAGCCTTCTTTATGTTTCATCACCATCGTAAGTGTCAGCGAGCATTCCACCGAAATGATGAACACAGTATCGAAACCAACCCATTGGTACCGGGCGAACCAGCATCATTGAAAGAACTTTATGAAACCATGTCTCATTCTGGCAGTGGTTCGGGTAAGAAAATCTTGTTCACATTTTTTATTGCAGAAGATTCTACTTGCCATACATATCATGTATTTGTGTGTATAGTGCACAATTTTTTTTTTGACAATATCAAACTTGGGATGTGCATTTTAGACAGTGACTAAAAAACTGACAAAATTGTTATGCAATACATGAGTCATTAAAATATTCAACCAATCAAATGTGAGAAACTCTGTGTTTCAGTGGCTATCAGTGATCAAAGAGCCAAAGAAGAATTTTTTCAGACGTGTGGTACAGCAGATAGTTATATATGCATTTCGATCAAAGTTGCCTTAAAATGGTCCTCAAAATTTAATAAATACTTCTAGGTTTACCCATCTTGGTCCAGAGAACAATAGCGAGACAGATCAGGCTATGTGAGATAATTGGTAAAGGGCGGTATGGGGAAGTCTGGAGAGGGCATTGGAGAGGAGAGAATGTGGCTGTAAAGATTATTTCAACCAGAGAAGAGAGATCTTGGTATAGAGAGGCTGAGATTTATCAGACTGTTATGTTAAGACATGAGAATATACTAGGATTTATTGCTGCCGATAACAAAGGTATGTTCAGACAAACTGTATAATTGCAAATATAGTGCACATGTCAAAAATTATTGTTTTTCCACACTTCATGGATTAGCCATATTTTTAATTAGAACAGCTTGTTTTGGAAAAGGAGTGTAGGGTTCAAGTGGGTGTTCTGGCTGAATTACCTCATAGCATACTTCAAGGCTTTGCCCTTCAAATAAAGCCCATTCAGGTGCAGAACAGAAAATTTAATTTGCATTTATTTTTATAATTTAGATACGTCAAATTTCCCTCATTGTACATTGCAAGCACTTGCCTTTTCTCAGTAGGCCAATCAGAAAATGATAGAAAAGTAGGCTGTAAAACTCATTTCTAATAACAGATAATGGAACGTGGACTCAACTATGGCTAGTAACAGATTATCTGGAGAATGGTTCGTTGTTTGATTTCCTCAACCGACAGTCAGTGACTACAACTAGTATGTTAAAAATGGCTTTATCAGCTGCCAGTGGTCTAGCTCATTTACATATGGAAATTATTGGTGGAAATAGAGGTAAGGAGCAACTATCTTTTACGAGGAAAACAACTTAGGTTCATAAGGACCCTTTCTACCAGCTGCTTCTTGCCCAAACTTTCCTAGGATTTTCTGTACCCATTTTACAGACTGGAATAGTGAATAAATGATCTATTCAAGTTCACCAGAATTACTATCAGTGTCCCCGATACACATCAAAAGTCAAAATAAAACCCCATTTTGGGGGGGTTTAATTTAAGTCTTGAAAATGTGTAATTAGTCTTAGTACTTGAAATGTACGAAAATCGCATAATTCCTTTAAAAATATCTCAAACTTGGAATTTTACTCACTATTTCTATATGTCTTTTCTATATGTCATAGACTATCTTAAAATGATGAGTCGTCATCGTGGATCTAATTTTGTGGGTTTAATCACTTTCTGAAGAATGTATATATTTATCACTTATAAACCTGTTGAACGATATTTCCTTGTCTAATATAGTAATGAATTTTGTCCTGTAGGTAAACCGGCTATAGCTCACCGCGATTTAAAGAGTAAGAATATACTAGTAACAGCTAATGGTACATGTTGTATAGCAGATTTAGGTAAGAAAATTAATTGTTAATTTTAGGAAAAACGAAACAGCCATTTTCTACAAGGATAACAACTTAATCTTATAAGAATCCTTTATACCAGCTGGTCCTTGGGCAAACCTCTTGGCATTGATTCTTCCCAGAAATCTACCCATTAATAGTTGCATCAATGACATATTCAAGGTAATTGGACTGAAACACACGGACCAAGATTAGAACCCATGACCACCGCTCTCATGCTTATTATCCTTCAAGGTTATCCTTGTCACACAATCCAGACCACAATATTATGAGATAACAGAATTAATTTTGAGGTAATCTTATTTCATTTTCACGAATTTCTCTCTTTGCAGGATTGGCTGTGCGACATGATTCCAAGACAGATTCTGTAGATAACCCACCTAACAATAGAGTTGGCACCAAACGCTATATGGCGCCAGAAGTCTTGGATGAAACTATTAACATGAATCATTTTGAATCCTTTAAAAGAGCTGATGTCTATGCGTTTGGTTTAGTTTTATGGGAAATTGCCAGAAGATGTAATGTTGGGGGTGAGTTCTCAACAATAAATTAAATATAGAAATTGCAATTTTTCTTTTTTTTTTTGATTTTTACTCATTATTGTAATCTAACAAGTTTTTTTACCACAGCTGTGTTCTAATGACGTTCTTTTAAATCAGTGATTTATTACTTGTTTCTCTCTAATAATGAATGGAAATAAAGTGCGGAAGTAGCACCTTGAGAATCAAAAAAACACTAAAACAACCATTCTGGTTCATAAGGATCATTTTTACCAGCTGCTCCTTGACCAAACCTCTAAGCGTTGATCTTCCCACAATACCCATTCCTGGATCGACATGGAAATGGGGACCGATGACTTATTCAGAGTCATCAGACTTTCACATGCTGACCAAGATAAGAACCAATGACCATTACTTTTACTGACTGTCCTAAAAGAAGAATGGTGTAAGTGATTTTGTGTGTTATATTATATAGGTATAGCAGAAGAATATCAGTTACCATATTATGACATGGTACCGTCAGACCCATCATTAGAAGATATGCGTAAAATAGTATGTATAGACAGACATAGACCAGCCATACCCAACAGATGGCAATCAGAGGTGAGTTCTTTATCAAAACATTTCACAACACATAGTAAATGACTCCTTTTCTTCAGTGGGGTGTTAGCCTCTTGGTATAGTGAAAGAGTTCTTTCTCACTTTTCACAAGACTTAGTAATCTGAGTATATATCTGATTCGCAGTGGCTCAGTGAGTTTGAAGCTTTCTCAGTAACATGTTGGTCCAGGCTCCAATCCTTGCATAGATTGTAGTCATACTTTTTCAACCCAGATTTCCCATGGTCAGTGATGCAGGTCTGACATGAAGAAAGATCCCTTGACAGTTGGAAATCGAAAGAGAGAAGGCTAATGATGCTGTATTTGCAATTTTTTGTCTAGATATTTGCAAATTAATTAGATCAAATTGTATTTTTTAGAATAATAGGTATTGAAATTTTATTTCTAATGTATTATATTTTCAGCCGTTGCGTGTGATGGCAAGATTGATGAAAGAATGTTGGTATCAGAATGCTGCGGCCAGACTAACAGCTTTACGTATCAGAAAGACATTAGCCAACTTGTATTCCTCAGAGGATACGAAAATATGAGATGGATACCTCAATACATATATTACGTGTACAACATCATATCTGAGAATCTGAGGATCCCTCAGAATCATCACTCAGGAGGTGACATTAATACACTTAAACCAGCTAGCTTACTTAACCTTAAATTGTACAAAGTGTACAATTTTTGATGATATAAAGTGTGTACAATTTTTTATGGTACAAAGTATGTACAATTTTGGGATTGTACAATGTATGTATAATTTTGGTATTGTACAATGTATTTATAATTTGAGATAATACAAAGTACAATATTGAGATAATACATAGTGTGAACAAAATGGGGATATACAATGTGTATAATATTGGTATTGTACAATGTATGTATAAATTTGAGATTAAACAAAGTGTGTATGTGCACTTTTGGGATAATACAAAGTGTGTACAATTTTTTGGATTGTACAAAATGTGTAGTTAATGAAGGAACATCAAAAATCTTTCAAAGGAGTAAACATTTTGTAGCTTGTATATTGCTTAAAGAAAAAGGTTTTTTTCGTTTTAAGTTTTGTGTGTCACCGAAATCACCAAGTCGGACAATATCGGTGTATGAAACCTGAGTGTGATTGAAGATTTAAGGCAGGAACTCATTCATCACAGTGCTCATGGAATGTGCCATGTTTAAAATGAAAATCTGATGCACAAAACCAAAATGCCTGCCATTGGCAAAGGAATTCAGTCCTTTTACACTACCTCTTGAGACTCATACGTGTTAAAATCTCTGGTACTTTTAAATACACTTAAAGGAATAGTAGAATTTTCTTTTTTTAGGTTTTTAATGTGCATCACGGGCACATCTATGTTTCCTATGTACATAACGGAAAGGAAACTTCTGTACAATAAAATGCAACTTTTTATTGCACTCATATCTTTGATAATATTTCACTAAGATTTATCAACACTCTCTAGAAGTGTCTCTTAGGAACTGTACATATTACATTCATATTCATCAATTCAACAAAAAACAGTCCACTTAATTTTTGGGTGGAATAAATTTATCTAGTTACAAGAAGCCACTATGTATGTTGCGGTTTTTACTTTAAATCCCTTAAAATAAAGTGGATTGCTCTAGTTTGTGTTTTGAATAATACAGGATGTGCACTGATAGTTTTGACTTTTATTGTGAACGTCTTTAAGGACAAGTTCTGAATTTCAGTGATGATTATTATCAAAATTCAATAAAAAATGTCAAATAATGTTTGTCCCCATGATTAAGGAACGCTAAAGAATCGCCACCAAATACAAATGTATGGATATTTTTGCTCATGTTTGTCTTGTATAAAAACTTGAGCAGTCAACTTTATTTTTTAAGGTAGAATAAAATTAATAGTAAAACAATTTTTATGGACTAAACTTACATTGTGTAACTGACTACTTGAAATCCCTTAAAGTGAAATGAACTGTGCACTTTTATGTTTTGAATTGGACCCAAATGAGCAGAAATATCCTTGCTTGACTGTAATAACATCATGAAAAAGTTATATTGATGGCAATGGCCAAAATACTGACACTTAGTGCCAGTTTTGGAGTTATGTAACATGTTGTAATAACAGCTTTTCTTATATAGTTTTATATTGCAACATTATCGGTTAACATGTATTATCTAGTACAAATGATAAATACTTTATCATTCTCATTTTTAGGCACTTCTGTCATGTATTCAATTTTAAAGTTTTTTAAGTCAGTTAAGAACAAAATGTTGAATTTGTGATCAGAGATTAAAGGGATTGTAAAGAGGTATGTAAAATATTTTTGAGACAGTGTTTACATCATTTTGTACGATGGTTCCTGCAATTCTACTTTAACATTATATAAGACCCTTTGTGATAGTGGCATTATCAACCACCTAGTTTCAGTAGGTTTGCAAGAATAACAGACGTTTGACTGAAAATTGAAATGGTGCAAATTAATGATATCAGTTTTTCCCGATGAAAATTTTAAAAATAGAACTATTTACAATCCATTTTGAGTCATTAGTAAATACTTGTCATTTACAATATCATCAGTAGGATGTTCAAAATATTTAGATTTTGTTGAGGCTTTTACATTTATAATTGATCCTGTCAAACAAATAGTGGTCTTGAGTATTTGTCTGCTCAGAAATATTTATACCCCACAAAATGTGGCAGGATACACCAAATAAATTCAATTTTTCAAAATTGTTCTTTGAAATTGGGAATACCTCCTCAAACTCTAAGTTAGACGTTCCCCATTTGTACTAGTACCAAAAGTATAGTGCAACCACTGAGAGAAAGCAACTGTATATCTGTTTGAAAGCTCTACATATTGTGTATGGTTATATGATAAGTAAGAATGGAGGTATGAAAGATTGGTAATATTTGGTATGACAATACTTGTGATATGTTCTGATAATGTAAAATATAACATTACATACTTATCTCAAACAATTTGTTTGACTGTTGTGTCACACACACTTGTCCGAAGTCTAATACTTACTTGTCCTTGCCAATTATTTTTAGTACAGTAGAGTAGCGGACTGAACACTCTGCTTCCCAGGGCCCAAGCTTATCACTGCTCATCTCCGATCGTTCTTTTAGACTACTTAAAGTAAAAGTTAGGCTTTTACATTTTTCAAAGAGATCAAAACGATTCGTTCAAAAAAGAAAATAAATTTGGAATCATAGTGGTTCGACTTCGAGTCCGAAATTAAAGTTTGCCAATTATGGTCCCGAATATAAAATAATTTGAAAGCTAAAACAATGCGGCCGTCATCGCATCTGATCTCAAGGCAAGTGCTTCAGAAAGTCGGCTTTCAACCTCTATCACCTCCATAATTATGTTGGATAAGAGTAGCACTCCCTTATGAGAAATTAAAATGTGGACTCCATCGGAGTAGCACCCAATTATGACATGGACTAAATAGAAGAAGCACCTCATTTTGACGTTGACTAGATAGGGGTAGCACCCCATTAAGACGTAGGCTTCATAAGAGAGGCACCCTGCCTTGACTTTGACTAGTTTGATGTAACACACAGTCTTGAAGTGGAATGCATAGGAGAAGAACCCTGTCTTGACGTGGACAAGAAAGATATGGCACCCAAAAATGACGAGGACTAGAGAGGAATAGCACCCACTTATCACGTGGACTAGATAAAGGTTGTACCCCATTATGACGTGGACAAGATTGGAGTAGCACCCCATTAAGGCGTGGACCAGATCGAGGTATGGTAATAATAACTACGTCATTCTACATGTACCAATTTTATTTATACATTGGGATTGTCTCAATGGGCATATGGTTGCGCAAAATGTTTTCATATCCGATTGGATCGTTTAAGATAGAAGGTGCTTGTGATACGCATACAAAGATTGGAAATTCTATTTTGTGTCCCTTTGCATTTCCATTTGATTGGCGATAACTGTAGAATATCTATGGAAAAAAGGCAGATGCAAATACTGAACGTACATACGATAGATATACACACGACACACGGCTATCTAAACCAAAAGAAGATCTGACGGCGTTATGAAACATGCGAATTGGGATAAATAAATTCTTTGGCAACGGCCGTAACGATTTCCCAGGCAAAATTCGGGATTCTGTATATCTTCTATACATTCTTTAGCTTCGAACTCTTTTCAGAAAGTCTGCAAGATTCCGTCATTGTTAACACTCGTTGCTTCAAGCCACGGACACGGGTTCAATTTTGTTTACACTCTGACCGCTCATTGTCGTCAAATTAAATGACCTGGTGGCTTTACTGAAGACTCTACTGTTGTGCTCGAGCAGGTAGATGGTAGCGTAGATCTTGGGCAAGTATAGGAACAGTAGCACTACCGTACTGTTCAAGATTAGGGCTATAGCCAAGGATACCGTTTTCAAATATTCTCTACCGGCGGTAAAATAGGTCGGAATGAATGCAAGCCAGATGACCAACGTTGTGTAAACGCACATGGATATGAAACGCGATTCGTTGAAATTGTCTGGTAATTTTCTGGTTCTGAAGGCGAAGTATGTGCAGGTTAGCACCAGAAGAATGTTATACGACAAAAAGGATATCAAACCCGCCAGCGGCATATTACAACTTAACTCGACGTATTTCTGGGTCGGAACCTGCATCGTGCGAGTTGCCTCTGGACTGTACCATAAAACAAAAACGATGGATATAGCAACCTGTAAAATAAATAGTAATTCAAGAATTACAATCAATGAATAAAAATGTTCATGAAGGTTACTTAAGTGACTCAATGAGTTGGACGCTTGTGATTAATGTGATTTATCAATCAGTTGAATGGAACACTAAAATCGTTTCAAGTTTTCCAGCAAAAGCCCTTTGAGCTGAAATGCTTCAGTAAGAAGACAATGCCTACCTGCCCAAAGACGAATAACATAGCAATGACAATCTGCGTCTTTGATCCAATAAACCTCGGTCGCTTGTTTGATTTCTTTCCGGATTCGAAAATCCTATATATTCTAATTGTTCTCGTGAGAAGAGGTCCGTATATACATGTAAAGCTGATGCAGAAGCAGAAGAAGACCATCTTGCAGCTCCACGTCTCTGGCTTGGTAACCATTCCAAAAACAGTAAGATAGCCTATACACACACCAGTCAACATGAAATAACTCAGATCTCGGCTTGAAGCTTTGATGAAGCTTGATTCGTTATACTTGATATAGAATACTAATATGCTGATAGCTAGTACAATACCGATGAAAGAAAACGTCACCAACATGATCGCAAACGGTTCCGACCAGTCTATGGTAACAGGAGGAATCGGCGAACAAGATTTCAAATCAGTCTCCAATTCTGGCCATTCAAACATTGGACAAGATTCACAACTTGTTCCGTTATTGGTCACCATCTCGTTAGATCTGCAAGATTTGCAGAGCCAGCAACACGACAATTCTTGTTGGATCAGAAACTCTCCTATACCACATTGTCTACTACAAATAGATTCCGGATGATGGGTTCCAAAGTTGGTAACATGTTCAAACGTGACTTCACCATCCATAGTAAGTTGTTTAGTGAATGCATCATAGGTTGCAACTCTCCCTTGAGCATAAGGACTTCCGGTGATAAGCTGATCAATGATGTAGCTTCCCAACGCATTCCCATTTGCGTCAAATCTGATCAATCCATTACGTCCACTGAATGTCGTATTTTTTAAATATTCCAATAAAAGAGGTCCAGAAATACAATCCCTAGCCGTGGCGGAATCAGCTAAAGGGCAATTGTCTTTGAGTAAACTATCTATAGCTTTAGCAAACGTTGAAACCGCGTCCATGACTGGTGTAACCGTTGAAATTGCTTTAAATCCATTTTCAAACGACAGGACATCGTCAACATTACAAGGGGAAATGACGGAATCAAAGGAACACTTGAAATGTTTACCCCAAAATTCTCTGAACCACGGATTACGAACATCTGCTTCTGGACGGATAGTCTTGAAATAGTCTGTATACAAAGGATCTTCTCGAGAATAAAAGCTAACCGTAAACGCCCCCAATCCGACATCCCATACGTCTCCCAGAAGCTTTATTCGTTTAGCCCAGGCATCGCTTCCAATAAATATGAAATAGTTCGTCAAGCCCAATTCCTTCAGAGCAGTAAAGAGACCCTTTGTTTGAGTTGGCCCCGCGAACACTATGACCACTCTGGCATTCAGATTATCCAAGAGATCTTTAGCAATTTCAGTGTAGTCTTTACTTCCCGATCCTTCGCTGACCATATTAGCAGATCCAATACAGATTCCTCTCGAATCAGTCAATCTCTTGATATTTTTGTATCCTAGTTCGCCGTAGCTACCTTCCGTGTAAACGATAGAGATGTACGACCAACTGTAGTGAGCAATCAGACCGACTATGGCTTCTGCTTGGAACTCGTCCGGAGGCACCACCCTTAAAAAATACGGGTAGAGTTCTTTATTAGAAAGTTCGTCACTTGTGGACGAGTAGCTGACCTGCGGAATTTGTATCGGTCCCAGAAGACTTGCTGCAGCTATACTGTTCGAGCTTTTAAGTGATCCAACTACGCCGACTACATCATATCGTGGAGTTGACGTCATCTTTGTGTTGTTTGCGCAGGTCTCCTGACAGGACTGTGGCTCCGGTACGAAGGACAGTGACTGGGCAATTGTTGTTGTTTCTTTCAAACAGTCGTCCAGAATTGCAAAGCCTAATGTTATATTTGGCAGTATGTTGGAATTATTGTTAATTTCGTTTACTGAGTAAACCAAAGCCTCTACAAACTGTAGAATTGAAGTCGATCTCAAGCCGTCTCCACATGCCTTTGTGGTGCTATAACTACTTATTGGAAAAAGGGCGCCCAAGTTTATGTCTCCTTCCTGAACGTAGCGTCTAGATGGTAGATGTGGAACATAGAATCCAGATTCTGTTGGTGAAGGTGCCAAGAATATGAAATAAAGTGTAAGCAATAACTTGTCCATTCTTTTGCTGTCGATTATCTGAAATGAAAAAAAAGACCTGTCGTATCAGACTCGTTACTAAACACATCAATAAGAGTACGAGTTGAATTTAGTCTTAATATGTGACCTGTCACTGCACATTAGTCACAGAGACCCAAATTTCAAAACTGACTATAGGAGGATACCGCTTGGTTTGGAACAATGTGTTTTCGTGGTAGTGGCTCTTCCCCCCCCCCCCCCCCC